TGGAATCAGCATATTGCTGACCTAGAAAATCAAGTGAACAGCACCATAAATTTTATACGTCGCATCGCGAAAACAAAATGGGACGGTACATCATCGTCTCTTCTCCACGTCCATTGTGCACTAATCCGACAGAAAATTGCCTACTCTGCGCCAGTTTTCCACAACATCTCTCAGACGTCGCTACACCAAATTCAGCTGTTGCAAGCACGAAGCTTACGCAAATGTCTGGGGATTCCACAGGCAACATCAAGTTCATTGACACTGGCAGAAGCAAGAGAACCCAACTTTATAGTAATTAGAAATGTGGAGACATGTCGGCACCTCTTTCGTCTAGTCACGCAACACCCTTCCCATCTGCTCATATCCAACATCGTGAACCGCGCTGGAGCGCAAATACACCATGTGTACCAACAGTACTTTTCCCGGCTTCCTGTGTCGACGCATTGGCCACTGGAACAAAACTACACTTCATGGCTGCTTGAGCTGCCAACTATTGAAAGGTCAATAAGAGGACTTCGCAGCAAACATGAAGTGCCAACCGTTGCCGCTCAGCAGTTGGCATCACATCATCTGTTTGACAGGTACCAAGGATACACTCACGTGTACACTGACGGCTCCGTCACCAAAGAGACAACGTCATCAGCATTCATAATTCCGGAATTGCACGAAGAATATGCATGTCGGCTGGGCCACCTCTCTCCTTCAACAACGTCAGAGCTCGTAGCAATTTCGCTAGCCATAACCTTTATTAAACTGTCAACGACACCAAGAAAATTGGTAGTATATACAGACTCTCTGGCAGCACTGGCTCGTGTGGAATGTGCCACTTCAAGACACATTGATGTGCGTATAGTATACGCTATACTAAAAGAGCTCTCAGAAGCTACAAAGTCGAATCATCGAGTGGCATTTCAGTGGGTTCCCAGTCACTGCGGAATTAAGGGAAAATGAAATGGCGGATGAGTTGGCGAAAACCGCTCATAATTCTACGCAAACGTGCTTCATTCCGGTATCTCAATATGATGTAAATAGAACTTTAAGAACAACAAAACGTGAATTATGCCTGTCTACCTGGTTCACTGACAAAAACAAAGCAATCGATCGTATATTCTGTTGATCTTAATCTTGAATGCCAATTAGACCTTGATCTCTCAAGACGTATTGACACAGTCATTCATCGCCTACGACTCGGAATTGCTTACAAAAAGCACTTCCTACTTCGTATTTGTCGTGCAACATTGTCAGCATGTTCATGCGGCCACGAGGATGAGGATATCTGTCACCTTTTGCTCGACTGTCCGAAACACGACACACACCTAAGGTGACTAGAACAAGAACTGCATAGGTTAGATCCTGAGCGACCATTCCGGTTGAATAAAAAACTAGGTCTATGACCATCCAAAACCAACGGCTAAGCAATGAAGGTGCTGCAACACTTCTTCGAAGAAACGAAGATTTGTGACGACAACTGAGCACACAAAAGTTCAAAGTGGGCGTGTCGTCTACGTGTTTGTTCTGCCCATATAAGAGAACTTTTGCTCTCACCCATGTAGGACTCTAAATAAGTATATATGTCATTGTTTTTTTTCATGTTTTTATTTGTACCAATTAAGTGGAAAAGGGTAGTCGTCGCCCAGTAACGGTGACAAAAACTCCTTAGTTCTATTTTCTATTTCAATAAAAAAAAGATGAGGGGGATGTACAGGTGATGGAGCCGTCGCGGATGGCGAGGCCTAAGTGCCGGTTTCAGGCATCGCGGCTGGACAAACCTGGCGTCCATTGCAGAGTTCCAGAGCCGGGTTGTGTGAAGACCCCGCACCTCCTACCAAAAGATGTTACGGGGAAGATTTATTCACCGACAGCAGGTTTCGGTAAGGGCTTAAAGAGCGCACAGTCATGCAGGCCAACGCGGGCAGCTAGAGAGAGAGCAACCCACAACAACCACGTTGTCGTCTTCCTTCTTTCAGGTGCCATTTCAACTGTGCCAAAGTGACAGTTTCATACACGTATCAATATTTTCCCATGTGACGTTGCGTACTTTTTCTTCGCAGGTACAACTGTGCACTCAAGCAGAAAGATTAAATATGAACGGTAACGTTTGTATCATGTAGCATTGCGTGGAAAACTAATTTGCCAAATATAAACTTTTCTAGTATTTTTGCGAAAACACGCCTTAGCTTGAAGGTATGGCGATCATAAAATTTTTTTGCGCAGAATAGTGTTCTCAATACGATCCTGCCAAGTCACGTTTGAATTGCACTAAACATTTCGTAGTTATGACTGTTTGCGCAGCACGCTCATATTAGCGCATTTTAGTTTTTATAAATTATATTTTTTTGACATTCTGAGCAGTTTAATTATTACAGACCTTCAGTTTACCGAATTTATAAAAGTCAATAAAATAATTACAACTCTTCCTTGCCCACTCGTGCACGCAGAGTCTGGTATGGCCGGCATACGACATGCCCTAGGATAGCGAAATCGTGTATACTACACCCGTAGCACATAACGGATACCCAAACGAAGGGTGGGTGCTGGAGCCGCTATTTCAATAAGCGGACTTCTTTATTTCAATGCTTCAAGTGACTTCCTTAGTGCTTGTGATTGTGTGCTTCACATTCGCATCTTCAATCCTAACAACGGAAGAGGAGAGGGCCAGCGTAAAAAAGGAGGGAAGAACGCGATAAGAGGATGGCTTGGCGAATAGGATTCATCGGAAGGAAAGCGGTAATCACAAGGTAATCATTTTTTTTCAGATTACCTTCATCTTTATGACTCACCCGATTTGTCGCGATGGCCTTCATTCACGCCTCCCTCTATCGCAGTTGCACTCTCGTCCTCTGTTGTATGAACTGGGGGTGAGGAGACGAAGCATACACGCACCAGTGCTTAGAAAAAAACTCGGAGCTTTGAAAAAATGGCAGGTCCACATGTCGAAAACTCGGCTCCAGCAACCACCCCCGTCGCGAATTTATTATATCAGGCTCCAATCTTCCTCTCCTTTGCCTTCCTTTTCGAGCAATGGCAGCACTTAGAAGTGTGGCAGTTTGGGCTAGTTGGTTTGACATGACGGTAGTTATAGCGCGAGAACAGAACGACGACAGCCCATAATGCATATGAATTGCGATGCTTCTTTGAACAGGGTTTTTGCGTATATTAGTTTTTTCATTTTCGAATAAAGGACAACGCAATAACAAAATACTTACATGTTAAAGAACCCCAGGTGGTCAATATTTCCGGAGTCCTCGACTACGGCGTCTCTCATAGTCATATGGTGGTTTTGGGACCTTAAACTCTACATACCGCCCCGCCGCGGTGGTCTAGTGGCTAAAGTACTCGGCTGCTGACCCGCAGGTCGCGGTTTCGAATCCCAGCTTCGGCGGCTGCATTTCCGATGGAGGTGGAAATGTTGTAGGCTCGTGTGCTCAGATTTGGGTGCACATTAAAGAACCCCAGGTGGTCAGAATTTCCGGAGCCCTCCACTACAGCGTTTCTCATAAATCATATGGTGGTTTTGGGACGTTAAACCCCGCATATCAATCAAACTCTACTTACCAATCGATCAACAAAAAAATATTTATGGTTTGTTTTCACTGCATTGGACATAGCACCAAGAATGTAGCGTAATCGGTCAATCTAATGAGTGTATAGACACGGCCACTGAATCCAGCCGCCGGGGTGCTGTGTGTGCCTTCCAAAAAGCTACTTCTAACTATAACTGACGAAGTAGCAATGCTCAATGCGTATGACGTCCCTATGAAATGGCTGATAAGCGTTTTTTGTGTGTATGAAGCCATGTACATGTGACATTCGTAGTGTTTCATTTCAGCCCCCACAAATTGCGTGGCATGCACTCCAAGCCAAAACGGAGCAACAGGGGTATAGGGGTTGCTCCTTTCAGGGAGCTATTGCATTGCCACTCCCATTACTCTCCTAAAAGGAGTAATTGCAGAGGGAGGAACCGTTGCTCTCCTTTCAGTTTCTCCTTCGGGGGATGAACAGTTACTCCCTCCAGTTCCTCCCTGCAGACCAACAGTTACTCCCACCAGTTGCTCCCTGTCGACCAACCATTACTCCCACCAGTTGCTCTTCTAAGAGCAACAGTTACTCTTTACCGTTCCTCCCACGTGTTCGCAGTTACTCTCTGAAAACCAACTGCACATGCTTCCAGTTACTCCTTGGGGAAATGAGTATTTATCTCGAGTATGCTTGTCACACGCTTAACACATGGCGAGAGCTCCTTGGAAGAGCACTGCTTGGGTGCTTCTAACACAAAAAGTGGACAATACTGAAAGGAAAATAATGCTTTATTGTTCTTTTTATGAGGCGACGTTTGACCACACGTAAAAGTAGACTTCGCCACACCACAGCCAGCACTAAACAAACACCATAATACATCAAAGTTTTCTGCGTCATCCGTGGAAAAACAATCTTGAGTTTTTCTAGCATAGGGCAGTCTGTTTCATCATTTGTGAGAGAAGAGCACTTCTCCAATTCTGAAGAACTCAAGTTTCGCAGCTGGTGTTTCCATCAGGCTAGCGCAGCAGAACGTCACCGCAAGCATATGTGAAGCATCTCATTGCTGCAAGAAAAAAAATAGAAGTGTGAGGTTAAACATGCCAGAATCAATTCATAACAATGAGTCACACACACTGCAGCAGCGCTTACATTCTAGGATGTTACCCATTGTCAGTGAGTTAAAGAGTGCCAGACGTGTTTTAAGAGAACCTGACAGAACGAATCTGCTGTTCTGTCTGGAGGGCCTCAAAGTTGGTGTAGACCTAATGCTCTTTTATGCAAACTAATTGGTGTCTTAACAAACGAAGAGCCTGTCTAGAGCTGTATACAATTTGTGTAATGTAAGGATGAAGGACGTTCTGTGATTGCGTCTAAATTAGCTACACTGACGTGAGCAGTATATAGTACGAGGTCCATGCTTTTTTTCTTTATCCTATATGCAATAATACGGCGCCATGCATTGTCAGTTTTTTTTTTCGCAGGGTCCTTTCCTGGTCTGTCGAGCTGCGGCACGCGTCATGCTCCAAGCGAGTGTTACCGACGGTGCCATTGTTAACGTGTCCAGCCGTGCTGCCAATGACTGCTTGACGGGTTTCTCAGTATACTCTGCATGCAAGGCCGCTGTTGTGTCCTTCACGCGCTGCATGGCCGCTGAACTTGCTAAGCGGCACATTCGCTGCAATGCCGTGCTGCCCGGACTGACCGAGACTCCACCTGTCCTAAGAATGGGAGATCAAAGGCGAAACGCACTATGTGCGACCATTCCTGTTGGCCGGCTTGCTTCTACCCGAGAAATCGCCCAGGTTGTGGCGTTCCTCTGTTCTCCCGAGAGTTCGTACGTGGTGGGTGCCGCGTGGGTGGTGGCTGGAGGGAAGCAGTAGACGTAGTACTGGCATTGTTAAATGCGAAGCATTTCTTAGCGAGCTTCGGCGAGCTTAACGATATCTATCTATCTATCTATCTATCTATCTATCTATCTATCTATCTATCTATCTATCGATCTGTTTAGCCGCCTAAGACTTCAGCTCTCCTGGCCGTTTGGACAATGGGATCCTTACAAAATTTTTCATGGCACGACATGACTGCATAACAAGCTAACTGACTAGTCATAAGAAGAAAATCCTGTTTGTCATGAATGTCATGATTTGCATGTCATGATGTAGCTGCTCCAGTGGTGGTTTCGTTAACATGACTTATCGCAATATTGGTATAGCATGACATGACTGCATGGCGAACATAGATGACTGGCCCACACATGTTATTGATGACTTGCGTGTCATGTAAGAACATGACAAAGTAGTAGGCTCATTATGCAGTCACGGTCGTTCCGATAGCATCACATACACCAAATTTAGTATTACGTGACGTGAATAGATGATAAAAGTATAAGAGTGGTGTAAACATAATAATCATGGTGTGCGTGTCATGTGAGAACATGAAAACATGCTGCGCTTATGATGCGCTTGCGATCATTTTGCTTTCTTCCCCTATGTCAAATTTAGTGTTATGGGACGTTAATGGATGACGAAGGTATTTGACTTGTGCAAACATGATACTCATGATATTCCTTCCATGTAAAACATAATTACATGAAACGCTCATAGCGCGCTCGCGGCCGTTTCTCTAGCTTTAAATATACCATATTTGGTATTACGTGACGTGAATGGGCGATGAACAAATATACCAGACGCAAAACAGATAATAATAAGATGGAAGTCATGAATGGCATAATTTCTATCTCCCTCATAATTTTGTGCTGCTTTTAAAGTGACATATCAAACTTCCTCAATTACGACTCGCATATCATCGATTCCCATAATATGTGGGTTCTGCAAATGTTTTCTTTATGATATAATAATATGCCGTCATGATTCGATAAAACAATAAATGAATAAATAAATGAACCCAGTAAAAGTTGCGTTTAACTTATAATAAGGCTACGAAGGTGACGACACAAACAAGTTGCAGTGAGCATCTTGAGGGAAACCTGGCTACGTCATTCACTGAAAAGTTTCTCAGTGGCCCAACAGACGTCCACTATATACCTAACGTATAAAGTCACTAAAACAGTAAAAACAAAAAAAAAACTACGGGCAGCTTTAATAAAAATGGTCATTTGCAAACATTTGAAAAATGGTAAAAATGGCGTATTGATGAAGTCTAAGAAAAACACACATAGAAATCACTTTAATGAAAGTTTCAGCAAGTTTGTGGGACGGAAAAAAGGTCCCTTCCATGTGACAGCTGAAAGCTCTTTACATCTAGCGGCTTGTTCACCCTGATGGACAAACAAAGTTTTGCAGCCAAAGTTGGACAGTTAAAAGCCGAGCTGTGCAAAACGACCTCCCAGTGCAAGTGGAGACGTTTACTAGAAGCTGCATTGCCAGGTTAGAGAAACAACTCTAGCGAATATCCTGTATTTTCTTCGAGTACACTATTTCTTGGAGTGCCTATCGGTGAATGGGGCCAAGTATTCTGTTCATTTTCTCGCTTACATTATTTCATATAGTGCCCTTCGGTGAATGGTGCGACGTAAAACTACATTCATATCATACTTATAGTCCTTTCTATAAAATTAAGGGACTGCTTCAGAAGTGCTATCAAGAGAGTGTTGTGCGACGTAGTCCATCAATCTCAAGCGAATCCAGTGACCAGACAGCGACCGTTTGTTTCATTTTCACGTGCTCATGAGGCATCTTCTAATCATCCAACTGACTGGTACTCAGTTCACTTAGCACATATCTCACTTCCACGTTGCTAACAAATCTCCCTGCTTTTCCTCAATATTTCTCTCTCTCTCTCTAACAACATTTACTCCTATCTATCGCAAAATAGAGAACTACACCTGTAGGGTGAAGGACTAATGTTCCTTGTTCACTTAGGCACACGTGCTATCCCACTTGAGACCAAAATTAAGGAAGTGCTTTATGCATTTTTAAAAGCGAAGCTTATCTAGACCAACATTGGCCCGCGTAAGGCGTAACCGGCGGTATCTCGATAACAGTATGATAGACGGCACAGTCTGATAGAAATACAGACGAACTGCACTTCAGTGAGGACATTGTAGATGGCGCTGTACCATTTTGATTTGCTGTTGTGTGGGCTGTGCCTGAGTGCGCGGGCAACGAGTTTTTCTGTCAGTTTCCTGGATAGTCGCCATGCGTGTCGGATCATTGGTGGAGCCTGGACGACGCAGAGCGGTGAGCGCGGAGTGCCGTGGTGGCTCTGGCTTGTCGTCAGATAGACAAACAGGCAGAGTCAGGCAAAGAAACAGATATACAGAGATACAAACAAAGAGACACACAGAGAGACAAACAGGTAGACGCAAGCATCGACAGAAGCATGGAAGAATCTGTGGACGCATGCGCGGACGGACAGATGAAGGCACGAACGAACGCATGCACGGACTGACGCTAGTACGCAAGGACGGATGCACGGGTGGGCACTTAGCTCCACACATCATCATTTACTTCATGGATTTGCGAGGATTTTTCAACACGAAAGTGTTTGATGCTGAGGGTCCACCGATACTTCAGTGATATATTTCAGTCTCAGAAACGGAGTTGAAAAAATAGGCGTGATTATATTTCAAAGAAAGGTTTGCCAACCAGATTCGAACCGATGACTACTGGGTGCGTGACGACATATGCCCGAAACGCTACGCACAGCGGCACGCCCACATACTCTCGAGCCTTTAAGAAAGCGCTTTTTTATATCTGACACTAACTTCGTATATTTTTTTCTTCTCGCTTATGGTATCCGCTGTTAGCGGTCTAATCAAGACTTACGTTATGGCCAGCGCATTTCATTGTGTAGCCCCATATACTCGGCTGCTGAACCGCAGGTCGCTGGATGGTATCCCGGCTGCAGCGGCTCCATTTCCGTTGGAGGCGAAAATGTTGTAGGCCCTTGTGCTCGTATTTGAGTGCACGTTAAAGAGCCCCAGGTGGTTGAAATTTCCGGAGTCTTCCACTATGGCGTCTCTCATATTCATATGGTGGTTTTGGGACGTTAAACCCCACATATCAATCGATCGATCCAACAATAATAATGCCATCCAAACCTCAAGTGCCTCTCACCAGGTTTGGTAATTTTAAGATGACCACCGCAGTGCGTACATTGGGCGTTCACGATCCCATCAGCCGAAACTGGCAACGCTACGTCCCACAAATATAGGTAAAATTGAAAGGTAAACGCCCTATTATTCTTTTTGCGTTCTTCCCCGGGAGAAGGAGGGGATGACGTGCACGATCAAATTGGCCGACACGAACGTTAGTGCTGTCATGACGCTCATATACGCAGACGACAGGGCTCTCACGTCCGCAATAGTAGCCCATGGCACCATGAAAATATTTGACAGTACAATTGTGCTTTGTGCAATTGGTTGCTTGTATAGACGAATAAAACTCGACAGGAATATTGAGACACTTAGAGAGAATGTGTGTATTTCTTTCAATTTTTCACCCTGCGAATCGCTGTAATATTAGAAGCTGTACCTCGCAACAACTTTCAGTGGCATCAAAGCCAAAGCTACGTGAGCGGAGCTTCTGCGCATATGCTACTGCGCCAAGTAGTTCATTTGAGACCGAATGCAGTTTCGATTTCCCAAGCGCATCCAACGTGCTCGTTTTTGCCAGACTGTGATATGTTTTTGATGTTATAAAATGCGAAGCAGTTTATGCAAAAGTTCAATTCGGTGAACGTAAGCACCCTTACGGAGTAGGTACTACAAGTAGCCCAAGCTGTGCCTGAACGCACTCACGCGCTAGCGCGTTCTGGCCTAAGTAAAAGCTGAGTAAGAAGCGGTAGGCTCCCTTTCTTACATTCTCTAAGTATTCATACAATGGCCTCGGGCCGCGAGATTCTGTAGCCGCGCGATGAATGAACGCGTTGTAACCTAAACAAAACGCGCCGGCACGCATTAGCGCGTTCGGCCATTTTAAGTGCTGTTTAAGAGGCTGTGTCCTCCCCTTTGCGCAGCCTAAGCAATCCCGTGATGGCATTGGGGAACAAGACTCTGAAGACGTGCGAGAAACCCCCTGGTTGAAAACAACTACATTGTATTTCTTTCGCATATTCAAAGAATTACGTTGGTCCAAAAGGTAATTGCGTGAATTTTCGCCTTCGTGAACATAGGATTTCACTAAGGGGGCCCCGTACTCATACTTTGTGATGCACTGCAAGGAGTGCACTTGCCAGGCGAAATATCCGCGAACGAATAGTTGACAGCCACAAAAAGCGGCTGTCGAGAGAAATATTGGAAGCATATCGAATTAAGAAAGGAGGTGAAAAGTGTTTCAGCAGGGTGTCAAACTCCGAATAAAGATTCGGAGTTTGATTTTTTGGACGTATGGTAACTACGTGCATTTGCCTTTTGTGTTCCTTTTTCATATTTTTTGTGGGGACTTGACACTTGTTTTTTTTCTAGTTGCGTGTCATTGGTTATGGATGAAGTTTTTTGTTATATCACGGTGTTGATGATGACAGCGGTGGTTTGAGTTGATGTACGTGCGTGCTATGTCTATGTATATAGTTGTTCGTTTTGGAATAAAAATTGTCATTTCTTAGTGTTTTTTGTACTTGATAGCACTTGTTTTCTTGTTAACCAACGCCATCCTGTGTTGCGTGACAATCAACTCGCCTGGCGTGCTTAAACATGAGTTCGGGACAAGTAGCAGCAACAGAAACTACAGTGAATTCATAATGTGCTCCACTTGGAAGGACGCGAAAATTACGCGGGATTCATCAGAGAAATACCTTCGACAGTAGACGCAGCTTGCCACTAGACGGCGCAGGCGGCAGAGGTATACGGACGACAATGGTCTGTATATAATACAGTTGGGTGTACTTGCGTTTCGCCGACATCCAAATGCGGCCTCCA